CCTTGGGAAACTAGAGCTCCCAGCATTGAGCCACAATAATTAAAGTGGCCTCAAATGGCATTAATTTTGCAGTGCACCCAAAATACATTTCAAATTAGGTATTTGGGGAGCTTCTTTGAATGTAGTTGAATGGCAAGAACATATAATAATAATAATAATAATAATAATAATAATAATAATAATAATAATAATAATAATAATAATTGGCAAGATTGGACGCCACAGCTTTCCAGCTAATTGGCCTAAATCTTTTCCAAAGGTGCACCTAAAACGAGGTTTGCATTGCCAAATTCTTCCCTTCCAGCATTGCTCCATATGTCGGGAGCGAATCGAGCCAGTTTCCTTCCCGTTCGCACGTCGGGTTTTGAAATGACAGCAAAATGACACAAGCGAACCCCTCCCCAAAGAGAAAGTCTCCCCACACTTCCGAGAAAATCAGAACGACATTCCCTCCCACTTGACCAAACCATCTGTCCGCACCAGACTGGGAGACGCTTACCTCCATCTCCCCAAATCCACAGACTGGGCCAAAGCGAAGGAAGGACAAAAGGGAGAGGGAGACGTCTCTGCGTCAAAGAGAGGGATGTGCAAAAATAATAATCTGGACGGCATTCAAGAGACGTCCATTCATTCATATGGAGAGGTTTAGATCAATGCCATTTTGGAGACCCAATGCCATCGGGTAATGGTCACGTCATCCCAGCATTTTGCTTATGAGCCGAACGATTAATTCCTCCGTTTCGGTCTTTTTGCTCGTTAATTGAATTATTAACTTCTGTTTCTTAATCTTCCGAAAGAGAGAGAAGCCACGTCCTTCCAGGATGTGAGAAATCCAGATTGCTTTAAAATCAGACAGAGAGAGAAAATAGGCTGCATCGAGATAGATAGATAGATAGATAGATAGATAGATAGATAGATAGATAGATAGATAGATAGATAGATAGATAGGGATTAGATAGATTGATCTGGTTCTGGATGGATGGGTGGGTTGGATGGATGGATGGGTAGGTAGGTGGGTAGGTAGGTAGGTAGGATAGGCTGGAACTAAGCTAGATGGATAGATGGGTGGGTAGATAGAAAGATAGGATAGGCTGGGATTTGATAAATACGGGAATGAATGGATGGGTAGGTAGGTAGGTAGGTAGGTAGATAGATAGATAGATAGACAGACAGACAGACAGACAGATTCTTGGGTGCAGCCTCAAGCAGAGAAGTAAGATGGATGGATGGATGGATGGATGGATAGATGGGTGGATTCTTGGGTGCATCCTCAAGCAGAGAAGTAAGATGGATGGATGGATGGATGGACAGATGGATGGATTCTTGGGTGCATCCTCAAGCAGAGAAGTAAGATGGATGGATGGATGGATGGATTCTTGGGTACATCCTCAAGCAGAGAAGTAAGATGAATGGAGGATGGATGGATAGATAGATGAATGGATGGATTCTTGGGTGCATCCTCAAGCAGAGAAGTAAGATGGATGGGGGATGGATGGATGGATGGATAGATAGATAGATAGATAGATAGATAGATAGATAGATAGATAGATATAGATAGATAGATAGATAGATAGATGATAGATAGATAGATATGATTCACACACAGAAGTAAGATGGATGGATGGATGGATGGATGGATGGATTCTTGGGTGTATCCTCAAGCAGAGAAGTAAGATGGATGGATGGATGGATGGATGGATGGATGATAGATAGATGGATGGATTCTTGGGTGTATCCTCAAGCAGAGAAGATGGATGGATGGATGGGTGGATGGATGGATAGATAGATAGATGGATGGATTCTTGGGTGTATCCTCAAGCAGAGAAGATGGATGGATGGATGGGTGGATGGATGGATAGATAGATAGATGGATGGATTCTTGGGTGCATCCTCAAGCAGAGAAGTAAGATGGATGGATGGATGGATGGATGGATGGATTCTTGGGTGTATCCTCAAGCAGAGAAGTAAGATGGATGGATGGATGGATGGATGGATGGATGGACAGATGGATGGATTCTTGGGTGCATCCTCAAGCAGAGAAGTAAGATGGATGGATGATGGATGGATAGATAGATGGATTCTTGGGTGCATCATCAAGCAGAGAAGTAAGATAGATGGATGGATGGATTCTTGGGTACATCCTCAAGCAGAGAAGTAAGATGGATGGATGGATAGATAGATAGGATAGACTGGAAGATAGCTATATAGGTGGGTAGATAGATGGATAGATAGGAAGGATAGGCTGGAACTAAGCTAGATAGATGGATGGATGGGTGAGTGTATGGGTGGATGGATGGATGGATAGAAAGATAGAAAGGATAGGTTGAATTTGATAAATAGGGATAGATAGATAGATAGATAGATAGATAGATAGATAGATAGATAGATAGATACTAATAGCTAAAAAGCTAGATAGACTGGTGGGTGGGTAGATGGATGGGTGGATAGGATAGGATAGGGTGGGTCTAAAATAGCTAGATATATGGGAGGATAGAGAGAGAGAGAGAGAGAGAGAGAGTAAGATAGGATGTAAGCCGCCTTGAGTCCCCTTCGGGGTAGAGAAAGGCAGGGTATAAATAGAAAGAAGGAAGGAAAGGATAGGATAGGCTAGGCTAAAACTAGATAGATAAAGGCATGGATAGGATAGGATAGGATAGGATAGGATAGGATAGGATAGGAGATAGGAAGGAAGGATAGGATAAGGAAGGAAGGAAGGAAGGAAGGAAGGAAGGAAGGAAGGAAGGAAGGAAGGAAGGGCTAAAACAAGATAGATAAAGGCATGGATAGATAGGATAGAATAGACAGGAACTCAAATAGCTAGATAGATGGGTGGGTGGACAGATAAGATTTATTTTTTATTATTAGATAGAGGGATAGACAGACTGACAGGTTGGAGAGAGAGAGAGAGAGAGAGAGAGAAGTGGCTGGATCTACATAGATGGACACAGACAGAATAGGCTGGATCTAGATAGAGAGGTAGAGAGAGAGAGAGAGGGGGGGGGGGCTGAATCCACACTGCCATATGATGCCGTTTGGAGCTGCACTTTATGTTCAGTGCAGACACTTACAATGCAATTTAATGCAGCCCAAAATCTTACAAACCGAGGCACACAAGGAAACAAAAAGAAATGTGGAAAGAAGCATTGGTAAAGGACTCGTATCTGCAAATACATTTCAGCGGCACAAAGTGGCATATAATCTGGGTTTATTTTAATTTTATAAATAGTATGTTTGCCCCGCCAAGGAGGAGGGCTCCCTCAAATGTTTCATTGCAACCTCTTTGTGTAGAAATCAAACTGCACTGGGGGGGGGGGGGGGGGGGAACCACCATCCCTTCTTCTGCCTTTCATTTCTTTACCGGTTTGCAAATGCTGGGATTTTTCGTGATTGTTGTTGTTCATCTCGAAGGGAAACTGTTTCAACAGTGAAACATTTGGGGTCCTCCTTTGGGTAAATGTAACTCCAAAAGGGCAAGTCCTTTCCCCCCGATTTGGAAATCTCTTTTGCACTCACCCTCCCTCCCTTTAAAAAACACACACACACATTTATGCACCAACACAAAAAAGGAGGTGAAAGTGTGCAAACAGTTTCACTTCCCACAAGTCAGGCGTCGCATCCAATGTTCTCCTTGTCAACATCCGAAAAGAATTCCACCGTACACGGATCGGTCCGAGAAAGTGAAATGATCAAGGGATCCGTAATGCCCTTTGTTCTGTCCCGAAATGAAACGGTGCGGCCGACAATCACGTCACACAAGTGCTCAGCTCATTTTTCCTTCTTGTTTTGTACACAGCGGCATAAATAAAAAGAAAGGGATATGTCTCGTGGGGTTAAAAAAAAAACGAGAAAAAGGGGAAGCAGTTCCACGCCGAGCTAATGTCGTATCTGGCTCGTCCGACAGCGAGTCTGAGTAAAAGTTCTGGAAAGCCTGACTCGTCTGACAGAGAGTTTGAGTAAAAGCCCGGTAAAGTCCAGCACACCCACCAGTAAGTTCCACATCAATCCAACATCATAAAGTCTGGCTCGTTCGACAGCGAGTTGGAGTAAAGATCCGGTAAAGTCTGACTCGTCCAACAGCAAGTTTGAGTAAAAGCCCGGTAACGTCCGGCACACTCAACAGTAAGCTCCACACCAAGCCAACATCTCGTTCAACAGCGGGTTTGAGTAAAGGTCCAGTAACATCCGGCACACCCAACAGTAAGCTCCACACCAATCCAACACCATAAAGTCCAGCGAGTTTGAGTAAAGATTTGGTAAAGTATGGCTCATCCAACAGTGAGTAAAAGCCCGATACAGTCCGGCACACCCAACAGTAAGCTCCGCACCAATCCAACGTCATAAAGTCCGGCTCGTTCGAGTAAAGATCCGGTAAAGTCCAGCTCGTCCGAGTAAAAGCCCGGTAACATCCAGCACACCCAACAATAAGCTCCACACCAATTCAACATCATAAAGTCCTGCTCGTTCAACTGTGGGATTGAGTAAAGCTCCGGTAAAGTCCAGCTTGTCTGAGTAAAAGCCCGGTAAAGTCCAGCACACCCAATAGTAAGCTCCACACCAATCCAACATCATAAAGTCTGGCTTGTTTGACAACGGGTTTGAGTAAAGATCCGGTAAAGTCCGGCTTGTCCAACAGCAAGTTTGAGTAAAAGCCCGGTAACGTCCGGCACACCAAACAGTAAGCGCCACACCAATCCAATGTCATAAAGTCAGGTGAGTTCGACAGCGAGTTCAAGCAAATATCCGGTAAAGTCCGGCTCGTCCAAAAGGTTGTTTGGCACACTCAACAGTAAGCTCCACACCAATCCAATGTCATAAAGTCTGGCTCGTTTGACAGCGAGTTCGAGCAAATTTCCGGTAAAGTCCGGCTCGTTCGACAGTAAGTTCGGCACACCCAACAGTAAGCTCCACACCAATCCAACGTCATAAAGTCCGGCTCATTCGAGCAAATATCCGGTAAAGTCCAGCTCGTCCAACAAGGAGTTCGGCACACCCAACAGTAAGCTCCACACCGATCCAACATCATAAAGTCTGGCTCGTTTGACAGCGAGTTCGAGTAAAGACCCGGTAAAGTCCAGCTTGTGCAGCAGGTTCGAGTAAAAGTCCCGTAAAGTCCGGCTCGTCCGACGACAAGTTCAAGTAAAATCTGGCTCGTCCAACAGCGAATTTGAGATGACCTCCAAACAGTTAGCACAGCCTCACTGTATGGGAATGTAGGGCCAGTTGAAGCCGGAACCGGAGAGGAGCATGTCCCGGATCAAGGTCTCGATGGGGGTCTTGCCAACTAGCCGGACGAAAAAGAGCTGCTCGATCACGGGTGCCGAGACGATCCGTAACGAAGGGAGGCGGAGGAGGAGGCGCCCGAAGCGGCTGGGCTGGCTGGGGTACTGGTTCCGGACGTACTCCTCCAAGGCACACTGGGACTTCTCCTGGACGTTCTCCACGTGGCACAGGTCCGTGAGCCCCACTGCGTCTGCAAAGGACGAAATCAGGTTCAGTTCTTTCAGTATCCATTTCATATAGATAGGTTCTTTCGGAACTGTGACCCTCCAGGTGTTTTGGACTTCAACTGTTAGGAATTGTGGGAGTTGAAGTCCAAAACACCTGGAGGGTCACAGTTTCACCATGCCTCACGTACATGTTTCATCTGTTGTATAACATAAGAGTAAAAGTCATCATGTACACACAAAAGTCAAGTTATAACCATTCCAGCATTATGTGTTGACAGGCGAGCGTGTCGTGCATTATCGGGACGCCCAGCATGCATCTGAGTGTACTTTATGTAGTAGTGATTCGAATCATAGTGATTCGGTCAGCAGTCCAGCCGGCACAAGGATTTAATCTATTGTGCCACCGGGAGCTCCTATGAACACACAAAAGTCAAGTTATAACCGATCAGTGGTCCATTCCACCGATACGTCTTAACAAGCGAGTGTTGACAGGCGAGCATGTCGTGCATTGTCTGGAAGCCCAGCATGCATCTGAGTGTAATTCATGTAGTAGTGTTTTGACGAGGCTCAAGCACTCTTTAGCAGAGAAGTGTAAAGACTACAACTCCCAGCTTTGAGTTCAAGTCAATGGGATGTTTGTGGAGAGAAAAGCGGGATATGAATAAACATGATGATGATGATGGAGATAATCCTGGGATTTGTAGTTTGATCAGGCCTCAGGCCTCTTTGGTAGAGAAGTCTAAAGACCTTGGGAAACTACAACTCCCAGCTTTGAGCTCAAGTCAATGGGATGTTTGTGGAGAGAAAAGGCAGGGTATTAATAAATATCATCATCATCATCCTGTGATTTGTAATTTGACTAGGCTCCAGACCTCTTTGGTAGAGAAGTCTAAAGACCTTGGGAAACTACAACTCCCAGCATTGAGCTCAAGTCAATGGGATGTTTATTGAGAGAAAACGCAGGGTATGAATAAACATCATTATGATGATTATTATTATCATTATGATTATGATCATGATAATCCTGGGATTTGTAGTTTGATAAGGCTCCAGCATTCTTTTGCAAAGAAGTCTAAAGACCTTGGGGAACTACAACTCCCAGCTTTGAGCTCAAGTCAATGGGATGTTTGTGGAGAGGAAGGCAGGGTATGAATAAACATGATGATATTGATGATTATTATTATTATTACTATTATTATTATTATGATAATCCTGGGATTTATAGTTTGACTAGGCTCCAGATCTCTTTGGCAGAGAAGTCTAAAGACCTTGGGGAACTACAACTCCCAGCTTTGAGCTCAAGTCAATGGGATGTTTGTGGAGAGAAAAGGCAGGGTATGAATAAACATTGTCATGATGATGATGATGATTATCCTGGGATTTGTAGTTTGACTAGGCTCCAGACCTCTTTGGCAGAGAAGTCTAATGACCTTGGGAAACTACGACCCCCACCTTTGAGCTCAAGTCAATGGGATGTTTGTGGAGAGGGTATGAATAAACATGATGATGATGATAATCCTGGGTAGTAGTTTGACTAGGCTCCAGACCTCTTTGGCAGAGAAGTCTAAAGGCCTTGGGAAACTACAACTCCCAGCTTTGAGCTCAAGTCAATGGGATGTTTGTGGAGAGAAAAGGCATGGTATTAATAAACATCATCATCATCATCATCCTGTGATTTGTAGTTTGACTAGGCTCCAGACCTCTTTGGCAGAGAGTCTAAAGACCTTGGGGAACTACAACTCCCAGCTTTGAGCTCAAGTCAATGGGATGTTTGTGGAGAGAAAACGCAGGGTATGAATAAACATTGTCATGATGATGATGATTATTATTATTATGATCCTGGAATTTGTACTTTGACTAGGCTCCAGACTTCTTTGGCAGAGAAGTCTAAAGACCTTGGGAAACTACAACCCCCACCTTTGAGCTCAAGTCAATGGGATGTTTGTGGAGAGAAAAGGCAGGGTATGAATAAACATGATGATGATGATGATGATGATGATAATCCTGGGATTTGTAGTTTGACAAGTCTCCAGCATTCTTTGGCAGAGAAGTCTAAAGACCTTGGGAAACTACAACTCCCAGCATTGAGCTCAAGTCAATGTTGTTGGGAGATGCTATAGCCTGCATGGTTATAGCAGGGATGTAGGAAGAGCCAAATCGATCCCGGTGACTAGGTTTGCTCCCCGAGCCAGATGTGCATTTTCTATGCGCCTCTGCATGACCTTGGCGCACTCACCGGGTGTGAAGAGCACGATGGCCTTGAGGCAGGAATACTCGGCCGAGTCCACGTGCAGGGCCTTCAGCTTCTCCACTTGCTCCTGGAAGACCCGGATGTGGTCCATGAAGGCCACCACTCGCTCGGCCGGCATGGGCGAGGCGTGGAGCCCGGCGGCGGCCAGGAGCGGGGCCACGTGGAGGGGCATGGCGCACTGGGCGGCGTTGAGGACAAAGAGCTCGCTCCAGGTCATGCGCAGGAGGCAGACCTGGTCGGCCAGCTGGAAGTCCGGGAAGAAGGGGATGTTCTTGGCCCACTCGATGGCGCTGAAGAGCAGGCGGGCGGCCAGCTCACAGATGTTCTCGATGCCCATGATGTTGCCCGGCTGGAGGCACTGGGCGCCGTGGCGGGAGGTGGGGTAGGGCTCTGCCCGCAGGAGGAGGGAGATGAAGCCGGTCAGGTAGGCATGGCAGTTGTAGGGGTCTCCGTTGGTCATGGGGTACTGGCCGGGGCTGGGCTGGGCATGGGCCATGCGCCCCCGTTGCACCGCTGCAGAGGGAAAGACAGAGAGAGGTTCCAAATCAAATATGTTTTCATATGTATCTTGTATAGAAGTACATTTTAATATTATTATTACAATGTTTGTGTGTTTTAACTGTGCTGTGACCTGCCTTGAGCCACAAGGAGAGGTGGGCAAGAAATAAAATAATAATAATAATAATAATAATAATAATAATAATAATAGTAATTATTATTATTATTATTATTATTATTATTAAGAGCCTAATAATAATAATAATAATTTTAAGAGCACCATTGCATTGTCTGTTTTGACTGTGACGTGACCCGCCTCAAGCCACAAGGAGATGTGGGCAAGAAATAAAATTATTATTAGTAGTAGTAGTAGCAGTAGTAGTAGTAGCCCTATAACAATAATAGTAATAGTTATTATTATTATTAAGAGCCACATTGCATTGTCTGTTTTGACTGTGACGTGACCCACCTCAAGCCATGAGAAGTAGGCAGGAAATAAAATTATTATTATTAGTAGTAGTAGTAGTAATAGTAGTAGTAGCCCCATTGTTGTTATTATTATTATTATTATTATTATTAAGAGCCACATTGCATTGTCTGTTTTGACTGTGACGTGACCCGCCTCAAGCCACAAGGAGATGTGGGCAAGAAATAAAATTATTATTATTAGTAGTAGTAGCAGTAGTAGTAGTAGCCCTATAACAATAATAGTAATAGTAATAGTTATTATTATTATTAAGAGCCACATTGCATTGTCTGTTTTGACTGTGACGTGACCCACCTCAAGCCATGAGAAGTAGGCAGGAAATAAAATTATTATTAGTAGTAGTAGTAGTAGTAATAGTAGTAGTAGCCCCATTGTTATTATTATTATTATTATTATTATTATTATTTTTATTATTATTATTAAGAGCCACATTGCATTGTCTGTTTTGATTGTGGTGTGACCTGCCTCAAGCCTGGTGAGCAAGAAATAAAATTACTATTATTAGTATTATTATTATTATTATTACTAAGAGTCCCATTAAAATAATAATAATTATAATAATTATAATTATTATTCTTAAGAGCCCCATTGCATTGTCTGTTTTGACTATAGCATTACCTGCCTCAAGCCTGCCTTAAGCCACAAGGAGAGGTGGGCAAGAAATAAAATTACTATTATTATTGTTATTATTATTATTATTAAGAGTACCATTAAAATTATAGTAATAATAATAATAATAATAATAATAATAATAATTAAGAGCCCCATTGCATGACCTGTCTCAAGCCACAGGGAGAGATGGGCAAGAAATAAAATTACTATTATTATTATTAAGAGTCCCATTAAAACTATTATTATTATTATTATTATGAGTCCCATTGCATTGTCTGTTTTGACTGTGGCATGACCTTCCTCAAGCCACAAGGAGATGTGGGCAAGAAATAAAATTACTATTACTATTATTATTATTATTATTAAGAGTACCATTAAAATTATAGTTATTATTATTATTATTATTATTATTATTATTAAGAGCCCCATTGCATGACCTGTCTCAAGCCACAGGGAGATGTGGGCAAGAAATAAAATTACTATTACTATTATTATTATTATTATTATTATTAAGAGTACCATTAAAATTATAGTTGTTATTATTATTATTATTATTATTATTATTATTAAGAGCCCCATTTCATGACCTGTCTCAAGCCACAGGGAGAGGTGGGCAAGAAATAAAATTACTATTATTATTATTATTATTATTATTATTATTATTATTATTATTAAGAGTCCCATTAAAAATTATTATTATTATTATTATTATTATTATTACTATTCTTAAGAGCCCCATTTCATTGTCTATTTTGACAATGGCATGACCTGTCTCAAGCCACAAGGAGACGTGGGCAAGAAATAAAATTACTATTATTATTATTATTATTATAAGCCCCATTGCATTCTATATTGTTGTTGTTGTTATTATTATTATTATTATTATTATTATTATTATTCTAGATGACCTTTGGGGGTCCCTTTGAACTCTAGGAGTCTATTATTATTATTATTATTATTATTATTATTATTATTATTATTATTAGAAACAGAAAAAGATGAGTCCACAGCAAACAAGATCACTCTTCTGGTTGTTGTGTTGGATCACACGTCGGTCACTTCCCAAGCGTCTAGGACTGTGTGATGTATCAGCAAATAATGTCAAAACACACAATGTAATGTGACTCATAATAATAATAATAATAACAACTTGTGTATGAGATTTATTTTAATAGCTTTGTATTGTATTTGTTACTGCTTGTATTGCTGTATTGTGGGCTCGGCCTCATGTAAGCCGCACCGAGTCCCTTGAGGAGATGGTAGCGGGGTATAAATAAAGTTTTATTATTATTATTATGCATGCAGATCCGAGTCGGGTGGCCTTTTGCAGCTGGCAGATGGTAATTTTGTCAGTGCCGATTGTGTTTAAGTGCAGGCCAAGGTCTTTAGGCGCTGCGCCTAGTGTGCCGATCACCACTGGGACCTCCTTGACTGGCTTGTGTCAGTTTTGCAGTTCGATCTTTAAATCCTCATATCGTGTCAGCTTTTCCACTTGTTTCTCTATTATTATTATTATTATTATTATTATTATTATTATTATTATTTTAGGATTTGAAGAAAGTTGGCCAGAATGAGGCCAAAGTCCTTGAAAACTATGATCCGCATTCCTATGCATCCAGCCAACTTTCCGATGATAGATAGATAGAATGGAAACAAATGAATAGATAATACTAAATACTGTGAAACGAAGGAGGTTGGTTGCAAGATAGGCAGAAAAAAGAAGCAGGGAAAGAAAGGAGAAGAAGGATGGAAAAGAGAGTGTGATGGAATGAAGAGTGGGTGACAGAAAAGGGAGGGATAGAGTGAGGAAAAGAGGGAAGGAATGAAGAAAGAAAAAAGTGGGAAAAGTGGAAGTGAAAGAGGAAAAAACGAGAAAGGAAAGGGAAAGAGTGCACAGAAAAGTGGGGATGACATAAGATAAAATGCAAAGACAGAAAAAGAGAGGGAGTGAAGGAAGGAAGAAAGATGAATGAAAGTAGGAGTGAAAGAAGAATGGATAGATAGATAAGATAGACGGATAGATAGATAGATGAATGGAAGGAAGGAAAAGTAGGAGTGAAAGAAGAACAGAGAGAGGGAGAGACAGAAGATGAAAGGAAGAAAAAAGGAAGGAAGGAAGGAAGGAAGGAAGGAAGGAAGGAAGGAAGGAAGGAAGGAAGGAAGGAAGGGTAGGAGTGAAAGAAGAATGGATGGATAGATAAGGCAGACAGACAGATAGATAGATGAATGGAAGGAAGGAAAAGTAGGAGTGAAAGAAGAACAGAGGGAGAGGGAGAGGGAGAAGACAAAAGGAAGAAAAGAAGGAAGGATGGATGGATAGAAGGAAGGGTAGGAGTGAAAGAAGAATGGATGGATAGATAAGACAGACAGATAGATAGATGAATGGAAGGAAGGAAAAGTAGGAGTGAAAGAAGAACAGAGAGAGGGAGGGAGGGAGAGAAGATGAATGGAAGGAAGGAAGGAAGGAAAAATTAGAGTGAAAGAAGACCAGAGGGAGAGATAGAAAGATAGACAGACAGACAGACAGACAGACAGACAGACAGACAGACAGACAGACAGATAGATAGATAGATAGATAGATAGATAGATAGATGAAAGAAAGGAAAAGTAGGAATGAAAGAAGAATAGATGGATGGATGGACGGAATGGAAGGATGGAAGGAAGGGAGAGTGAAAGAAGAATAGATAAATGGATGGATGGATGGATGAATGGATGGACGGACGGACAGAAAGGAAGGAAGGAAGGAAGGAAGGAAGGAAGGAAGGAAGGAAGAAAAAGTAAGAGAGAAATAAGAAGGGAGAGATAGATAGATAGAAAGATAGATAGATGGATGGATGGACGGAGGGAGGGAGGAAGGGAGGGAAGGAAAAGTAGGAGTGAAAGAAGACTGGATGGATGGATGGATGGATGGATGGATGGATGGATAGATAGATAGATAGATAGATAGATAGATAGATAGATAGATGAAAGAAATAAAGAAATAAATAAATAAAGAAAGAAATAAAGAAATAAATAAATAAAGAAAGAAAGAAAGAAAGAGGAAAAGTAGGAATGAAAGAAGAATAGATAGATGGACGGATGGAATGGAATGGAAGGATGGAAGGAGGGAGAGTGAAAGAAGAATAGACAGACAGACAGACAGATAGATAGATAAACAGAAGGAAGGAAGGAAAAGTGTGAAAGAAGATAGATAGATAGATAGATAGATAGATAGATAGATGGATGGATGGATGGATGGATGGATGGATGGACGGACGGACGGAAGGAAGGAAAACGTAGGAGTGAAAAGAGAAGTGATAGATAGATAGATAGATAGATAGATAGATAGATAGATAGATAGACGGACGGAAGGAAGGAAGGAATTAAGGCAAAAGTAGGAATGAAAGGAGAAGGGAGAGATAGATGGATGGATGGAAGAAAGGGAGAGTGAAAGGAGAATGGACAGATAGATAAGACAACTAGAAGGAAGGAAGGAAAAAGTAGGAGTGAAAGAAGAATGGGTAGATAAAAAGATGGATAGATAGATAGATAGATAGATAGATAGATAGATAGATAGATAGATAAAAAGAAGGAAGGAAGTAAGGAAGGAAGGAAGGAAGGAGGAAGGAAGAAGGAAAAAGTGGAGGAAGAGTAGAAGTTAATGGAGCTACTGAGCAGAATACTAGAATCATAGAAAGGGCCGACCAGTCCAACCCTTAGATGGAGGGATGGATGGATGGATGGATGGATAGATAGATAGATAGATAGATAGATAGATAGATAGATAGATAGGAAGGCTAAAAGGAAAAGGATGGGAAAAGGAGGAAAAGGAAGAAGTATAGATGTGGAAGGGACACATAACACCTTGTCCAAGAGAACGTGATGGAGAAGTAAGAGGGGAGCGAGGAAGGAAGGCCGGAAGAGGGGGCCGGTCAGGGGCATGGGGGACCCACCTTCGCGGCGCATGCCGACCTTGAGGCACTTGGTGAGGCGGCAGTGCTGGCACTGGTTGCGGTGGTGCTGGTCCACGGGGCACTGTCGGCTGGCGCGGCAGGTGTAGCTCAGGTTGCGCCGGACGGAGCGCTTGAAGAAGCTCTTGCAGCCCTCGCAGGTGAACTGCCCATAGTGCTTCCCGCTGGCCTTGTCCCCGCACACCAGGCAGTCCATGGCCGAGGCCCCGGGCGCCCCCTTGCCCTCGCCGTGGGGCCCTCCGCTGGGCTCCTGGGGGGCCGGGGCCAGGGGCGGAGGGGCAGGGAGGGCCGGAGGGGCCCCGGGAAGCTCCTCCTGCCAAGGGGCCACCACCAAGGCCATCCTGAGGAAGGGGGCAGGGAAGGAAGGACTTGGCCGCCTGGGGAGGAAAGGAAGGAATGGGCAAGGGAGGATGGAGGAGAAGAAAGTGAGGGAGAGAAGAGGGACCGAGAAGCAAAGGAGGAGGAGGAGAAAGAGGAGGATTGGGCTGGAGCTTTGGGAGAGGAGGAGCAGGAGGAGGAAAGAGAGGAGGGAGAAGAGAGAGGGAGGAATGGAAGGAGAGGAAGAAAGGGAGAGAGAAATGGAGGGAGAGGAAAGAAAGGGAAAGAATGGAGGGAGAAGAGGAAGAAAGGGAGATGCAAATAGAGGAAGAGGAAAGGGAGGAATGGAGGGAGAGGAGGGAGAAGACTGGGGGAGAGGAAAGAGTGGGGGAGAGGAAGTGAAAATAGAGGGAGGAATGGAGGGAGAGAAAGAAGAATGATAGAAGAACAGAGGGAGAGGAAAGAGGACCAATAGAGGGAGAGAAAAGAGGGAGAAATGGAGGGAGAGAAAGAAGAAAGGGAGAAGAATGGAGGGAGAGGAAAAAGGGGGGAACCGAGGGAGAGGAGGAAGAAAGGGGAAAGAATGGAGGGAGAGAAAAGAGGGAAGAATGGAGGGAGAGAAAGAAGAAAGGGAGAAGAATGGAGGGAGAGGAAAAAGGGGGGAACCGAGGGAGAGGAGGAAGAAAGGGAGAGGAAAGAGGGAGAGGGAAGAATGGAGGGAGAGAAAGAAGAAAAGGAGAAGAATGGATCGAGAGGAAAGAGAGGGAAGAGTGTAGGGAGAGGAGGAAGAGTCCAATAGAGGGAGAGGAAAGTGGGAGAAATGGAGGGAGAGAAAGAAGAAAGGGAGAAGAATGGAGGGAGAGGAAAAAGGGGGGAACCGAGGGAGAGGAGGAAGAAAGGGAGAGGAAAGAGGGAGAGGGAAGAATGGAGGGAGAGAAAGAAGAAAGGGAGAAGAATGGATGGAGGGGAAAGAGTGAAGGGAGAGGAGGAAGAGACCAATAGAGGGAGAGAAAAGAGGGAGAAATGGAGGGAGAGAAAGAAGAAAGGGAGAAGAATGGAGGGAGAGGAAAAAGGGGGGAACCGAGGGAGAGGAGGAAGAAAGGAAGAGGGAAGAATGGAGGGAGAGAAAGAAGAAAGGAAAGATTGGAGGGAGAGGAAAGAGGGAGGAACCGAGGGAGAGGAGGAAGAAAGGGGGAGAAGAATAGAGGGAGAGGAAAGAGGGAGGAATGGAGGGAAAAGAATGAAAGAGAAGAGAAAAGGAGAAAGAATGGAAGGAGAGGAGGACGGAAGGAAGAAAAGAACAGAGGGAGGAATGTAGAGAGAGGGGGAAGTAAGAGAGGGTTGGACAGGTAGAGAGGAAGAGAAGGAAAGGGAGGACGGAGAACGAAAGAGAAGAAGAAATTAAGGACTTGGGGGGAAAGATCTTGCTGTGGAGTGGAGGAAAAAGGGGTGATGGTGGAAGCAAAGCAAAGGAAGTCTAGAGGAGGATGGGTGGAAAGACTCAAGGACAGAAGGGAGAGGAAGAAAAGGAAGGGAATTGGAAGAGGGAAGGAAAGATGGAAAGAGGGATGGAAGGGGTCAAGCAAGGGCACGTCTATCTAAGGGAAGAAGGGATGGAGGGGATCAGCAGCGGAAGAGAGTGAGAGCGGTCAGAGGAAGAAGAAAAGTGAGCTGGGAATTACATCATTTACATCTTCCTTCCTTCTTTTCTTCCTGTCTTTCTTCTTTCTTTCTTTCCTTCAGATCCTCCAAAATCTCCAGAAGTAGGAGACTCACCAGAGGTGGCCAACAAGGCCCATCGTCCCCAACAAAGTCCAGCTCATTCTTGCCATCCAAAAATGGTCAAAGTCCAAAAAGGAGGAGAAATCCCCAACCAGGCGGGCCTTGATTTGGTGCGACTCCGACCGAGAAGGCCAGGAAAAGGGGGAGACGAATGGGATGATCTCTCTCTCTCTCTCTCTCTCTCTCTCAACCCCTCGCTTGCCACCATTCATCCTTTTCAGGGAAGGAGACCTGCAAACAGCAGAGAAGGAGAAGAGCAGAGATCTCTTTGAACATTGAGGTCCTCAATTTGGTGGAAAAGGCAGGGAGAGAAAGGGGGAGAAAGAAAGAATAGAACGGAAAGAAAGAGAGAAGGAGGGAGGGAGTGAGAGAGGAAGGAAGGAAGGAAAAAGAAGGAAGGAAGGAAGGAAGGAAAGAGGAGAGAAGGAAGGAATCAACAAAAGAAAGAAAGAAAGAAAGACGTGAGAGAAGGAAGGAAGGAAAGAAGGAAAGAGACGTGAGAGAAGGAAGGAAAGAAGGAAAGAAAGAAAGAAAGGTGAAAGAAGGAAGGAAAAAAGGAAGGAAAATAAGACATGAGAGAAGGAAAGAAAGAGGTGAGAGAAGGAAGGAAGGAAGGAAGGAAGGAAGGAAGGAAGGAAGGAAGGAAGGAAGGAAGGAAGGAGAGAAAGAAGGAAGGAAAGAAGGAAAGAATGAAGGAGAGAAAGAGGAGGGAAGGAAGAAGGACAGAAGGAAAGAAAGAAAGAAAGAAAGAAAGAAAGAAAGAAAGAAAGAAAAAAAGGGAAAGAAAGAAGGAAGAAAAAGGAAGAAGAAGAAGGAAGGAAGAAGAAAGAAGGAAAAGGGAAGAGAAAGAGGAAGGAGGAAGAAGGAAGGAAGGAAGGAAGGAAGGAAGGAAGGAAGGAAGGAAGGAAGAGAAAGGAAAACAAAATTAGATACTTTGCTCCCATTCCTTAAAAAATAGATTTCCCTTCCCATTTCATTCCTCCCTATATAGATAGATATAGACGATATAGATATGCATATGTAAATTTATGTACATTTGTTTTCAAGCCACTGTACACTGCTTTGAGTCCCACCCATGGGGGAAAAGTGTGATAGAAATGAAATAATAATAATAATAATAATAATAATACACAGTAGATTCTCAGTTAACTGGTGCTCACAAGGATCGGTAGATGCCCGATAAAGGCAGTTTCTGGTTGCTTGAGAGTTACTATCAAAAACAGAACTAAGGCCAGACTATACACCACAATCCACTCTGTATTGACTTGATATTCATGCGGAAATACAATCATTAAAAGCAAATCGAGACAAACAAAAACGAACTGAATGTAACAGTTTTCCCATATAATAATAGAAAAACCCTATGTGAATACAATATCGTTCCTTTGGGGTTTTTTGCCGGTTGCTTGAGAGTTCCGATTGATTGAGTTCTGGTTAACTGAGAGTCTACTGTATACACACACAATGCCTCCCAAAATGTGGGCTTCCTTTGTCAATCAACACCAACAAAGTGGATTATTGGGAGGCAACATCAATACATTGATATTAAAGAATGGACGTTTATAAGATTTGACGGATGAAATGTGTCATTTTTGGGATCCGAATCGGGAAGCGTGTGAAAGATTTGGGAATTAAATGGCAAAAGAATAATTAAAAATAACAATTTAGCGGGCTATAAAATATATAATATTATTATTATTATTAATAATAATAATATTTTCATGTCAGGAGCGACTTGGAGAAACTGCAAGTTGCTTCTGGCCATCTGCAAAGACGTTGCCCGGATGTTTTGATGTTTAACCACCCTTGTGGGAGGCTGCTCTTTTGTCCACGCATGGGGAGCTGGAGCTGACAGAGGGAGCTCCCCCATGCTCCCCCCGACCTATCGATCATCAGTCCTGCCGGCACAAGGGTTCAACCCGTTGTGCCACTGAGAAAACTGTGAAGGAAATTCAGGGGAAACGGAATGATTTCATGGGTGTCTATTACGCAACAAGTTGTTTACCTGAAAGTCAGTTCAGGCAACACTGCATTGAAGTGAGAAGCTAAGCCTAGAGATGCCAAACGGACAAACGCTAAAGCGCAATCAGCCTAAAGCCTATCAATACCTAGGGATACAATAACTGGACAATATCTTTCAAGTTCAAGTCAAGCTTTGATTATGGATTGAATATATCCTGGAATTTTCCTATGTTCCTGTCCATGTAATCCTGTCCAAGTCTTATTAGTTATGGTATAGTATCCTGATTGTGGACTTATGTGGTATATGATTCCTGGTTGATCCTGGACTTTGTCGCCTTTGGAACTTTATGTTTTGCCATCCTTGTGGGAGGCTGCTCTTTTGTCCACGCATGGGGAGCTGGAGCTGACAGAGGGAGCTCATCCATTCCCTCCCGAGGGATTTGAACCCCCCCCCCCCGGATTTGAACCTCCGACCTCCCACAAGGATGTTTTGCCATCCTTGTGAGAGGCTGCTCTTTTGTCCATGCATGGGGAGCTGGAGCTGACAGAGGGAGCTCATCCATTCTCCCCCCCCCCAGATTTGAACCTCCCCCCCCCCAGATTTGAACCTCCAACCTCCCACAAGGATGTTTTGCCATCCTTGTGGGAGGTTGCCCTTTTGTCCACACATGGGGAGCTGGAGCTGACAGAGGGAGCTCATCCATGCTCCCCCCCACCCTGGATTTGAACCTCCGATCGGTCTTCAGCCCTGCCAGCACAAGGGTCCAACCCATTGTGCCACTGAGAAAGTTGTGAACGGAATTCATGAGGAACGGAATGATTTCATGGGTGTCTATTATGCAACAAGTTGTTTACCTGAAGGTCAGTTCAGGCAACACTGCATTAGAGTTGGAAGAGACCTCATGGACCATCCAGTCCAACCCCATTCTGCCAAGAAGCAGGAATGCTGGATTCAAATCACCCCTGACAGATGGCCATCCAGCCTCTGTTTAAAAGCTTCCAAAGAAGGAGCCTCCACCACACTCCAGAGCAGAGAGTTCCACTGCTGAACAGCTCTCACAGTCAGGAAATTCTTCCTCGTGTTCAGGTGGAATCTCCTTTCCTATAGGTTGAAGCCATTGCTCCAAGTCCTAGCTTGAGTTTGTGGTGCCTGAGCCTACGCCGCACTCCAGGGAATCTTCTTTCTTGTAGTTTGAAGCCATTGTTCCATGTCCTAGTCTCCAGGGCAGCAGAAAACAAGCTTGCTCCCTCTTCCCTGTGGTTTCCCTGTGGCTGAAAGTCAGTTCAGGCAACACTGCATTGGAGTGAGAAGCTAAGCCTAGAGATGCCAAATGGACAAACCCTTAAGTGCAATAAGCCTAAAACCTATCAATACCTAGGTATATGATAACTGGACAATATGAAGAATGGGCATGTGAAGAATGCGGTCAGCAATGAATATATCCAAAGGGTCAGAAAGAGCAATTTAAATGGCGGAAATACGACCAAGGCTCTCATCCCCATCATTAGATACACTCCTGGGATTGTGAACTGGACACAAGCAGAGTTGGATGATCTGGACGGAAAAACAAGGAAACTGATGACAATCCACTACTCATGACATTGACGTAGTGATGTCAACATTACCTGCCCAGAAAATCAGGAGGCAGAGAGCTCTGCAAGGGAAACAAATGGTAGAAGAAGAGAAACATGCCATGGCAGATGATGTGAAAGGCCGT